TGTCAGATTAGTATTTTAGGGACAGCCTTATTAAAAGAAACCTATTACAAAAACACAGAAAACAGAAAAAAAAAACAATCGGACAAAGTAATCTGAATTAATCCCATGTGAAGGAGAAGAAAAGAAGTGTACAATAGTTCGCAAAATGTGTGTGTGTGTTTGTGTGTGAAGAAAACCAACAGATATTGAATATCACGTTTTGCCCGAGCAACGATGCAACATTTACAATCTGATACATGTTTCAACATGCCATAAGTTTACATCACAGCTACTGTGTCGGATTCATTTTTATGTTTTGTTGCATTTCTCATTTAAAAAAAAAAATCGAAACAAAAAAAGGATAGTCTATTTTGGTCTATGATAGGCAATTAACACAATCCACAAAACTATAAACAACCAATCAAGTGACAAAGCGTACACGCAGTTTCACAAGCACCCTGCCAAGAGAAGAAAAACTATAAGAAAACACAAAAGAAAACTTAAGCAATCGAGCGTGATTGCAGGAACCCTACTCACATAAAAAAAACTTCAAAAACTGAAGTTATCCTAACCCTTCTTTGGTTTGTGAAAACAAAAAATTGTACAGTTGTTTTTTAAAGTATCTCCTAATAATTTGCAAATTACCACGACTTTCAGAATCGTGATAGAAATCTCTAATCAAAGCCTGGCGTTTTGGCTGAGACAGCAGCAGCGTCAAGGATCTCGACTTCTCTATTTGTTTTTTTTTTTGTGTGTTTTTTTTAAACTCGTGTGTCTGCACGATAAAAACGTGATCCACACATCCAAGAGAAACAGAGCAATAGAACAGTGCGTGCTGCCTATAAAACCAGTCCGCACAAGAATAAGCTGTGCTCAGAGCTTAAGAGGTTATGAGCTCTTACGAAGAATTTGAATAACGGATCAGATGTGTTTTTTTTTTCTTTTTAAAGTAAGGGAAATGCAAATTTTACTCAGGCGTTATTGAAACTATATTCTTGGGAGTATGGAACAAATTCGCCGTTAAAGAATTGATTTGATATCAGGTGGTTTAAGAGTGGGAAACAAATGCCAGACTTGAAGTTGGAATGTGCTGGACTGAAGACAGGAATGTATGTTTTTAGTTACGCTGCTGCACACTTCAAAACTTAATTGTCTCATTCGGCTGAACTAAGCCATAAAAAGGCCACAGTGACTGAAAAGACAAAAAAAGCCTTAAGAATCGAGTTTTCAGAGGCTAAAATACAGCTGAGTCCCCAAGTCACTGTGACAAAGAAAAGTAAAAAAAGAGAAGTGAAAAGAAAAGAGAGTTTGTGCTCTGCTAAAGGAGAGGGGTGATCCACCGTGGTCATCGAAGGACGACGTCTGATGAAAACAGGGGTAGCCTAATAACTGCATGTTCATATAGTGAATAGAAAGTAGATTTTGTTATAGCTTAGTATCGCTGTCTTATACTTTATAATCTGCTGTTTCACTGTGTTTGTAAAGCTTAAAGTCAAAACAGAATCTGGATATCTGTAAAACCTGAACAGACACTGTTTCTGAGAAGTAATGGTTAGATAGATGACAGGGACTACCTATATAACATTACCTAGATGCTATGAAACTACGTGTGTTTCTTGCTAAATGGACAGTTCAGAGTGCTGGAGTGATGCTCTGGTAACAAACAGTTAATATCTAACCTGCAGTAACTCCGTTGGCGCCTTCATTTACAATAAATCCGGATTAGTTGGAGCTGGAAGTGAGTTTTATGGCTAGACCAAGAAGGGCCAAGACCAAAGGGGACTTTTATTATCTTAAAGCTCAAATATATTATAGAGTCATCGTGTTTGCAGATTGGGGGTTATTTTAAAAGAAATCAGTGGTTATTTATAAGGGAGATGGGAGCAGGATGCAATGTTTCTTCCCTTGTAAAACAAACAAAAAAAATCTAGTTTTCTGTAACTGCCTGACAAAAAAGCAAAGGAATAAAATATCATCCACTTATGCCACTATAAAATTTTTGAACTTTTTAAAATGTACCTTAATAGCAGGCAGTTACTCAAACCAGATCCATTTGATGAATCTCTGTTTACATAGGAAGACATTGTCAGGGCATCACCTCCAGTCCCCGATTCCTGTGTTACTGATGGTCTTGTAAACCATTATGACGTTGTTAAAATTGGAGATTTAAGAGAGTTAAAATACAATTCTGTCCACTCTGGACAAACTAATCCGGATTTCTATCAAACAAAGACACAATGGAGAAATCTCATGCAGGTGTGATACTGTGTTTAATTTACAACAGAAGTTCACTTCAAAAATTATGAACCATGTCTTTAATCATAGCTGTTTTCTCCTATTTACTTCAAAAAGATGCATTGTGGAGGATTTAAAGATTTAAAATGGAAGCAATCACGAGTTTCACGTTTGGTTCATACAAAGTTTTCATTTTAAATCTGTTTTATTCTTTTTTTCTGCTCCTGTTTCTCACTTCTAATTTAAGAATAATGGTACAATTTGAAAGTGCACCCCTTCCGGAAATTGGCATGACAACCAAGTTGGAGAAGGTTGGAGAGAAAACTGGGTAATTAGTCCACAGGGGACAGAATAATAAGCCTTCCCAAAACCTTTTCATCTTGCAGTAGCTCAGTTTTGTAACTTGATTTGTGTTTTATTTTTCTTTCAGTTTTGTCTTCATGTTGCTCATCGGAGCCAGTTAAGAGGCTGCTGTGCAGGCAAGAATGTGTTTACCCGAAGCCAAAACCTTAAAATTCTCATTTTGTCTCCAAAGTCTAAAAATGTGCCAATCAAGCAAACGGTACAAATGATCTTTTTTGTAATATATATAAATTATCTATAATAACTCCCAGTTACACATAAACAAGGCTGCAAGTTACAGTAAAACCTAAAGAACCTCTGTGAGGAAATTGGGCTTTGGTTTGCATGTGTAGGTGCCTTGTTATCAAAGCTCTGGACTTTGAAACCAACTAAAGGACTACAAGCAGCTTTCCACCTCCAACAGATTGCAAATCATCACATTCATTAACAAGAAAGTACGAGTTTAAGCAGCGACTGCTGTGCTCGTAGACGCTGTTATAATCTTGCAAAATGGCATTATTTACCAACAGGGAAATATGAAATATCCAGGGATTAAACCTGGATTTTATGTCGCCGTGACGGGCAGGTGTGTAAACGTTCCTCCGTCCAGCTCCAGTGTCTCCCCCTGCTGCTCACCTACCACCACTGCCCGGTCTCCCCACTCGTACAGTACATTCCAGTATATGGCTTGTTTGCAAATGGCAAATACTGTAAACTGAAGAAGAAGAAAGGAAATGAAACAGCCTTCCATACAAAAAAAGAGAAATAACTAAGCTGAGCTTTTGAGCTAAAACCAAAGCCTACTACTATTTAATTAAACGGGCATGACTGCGTTTTAAATCTTCAAATCCTCCAGATGGTGTGAACATAACACACGAATGAAACAAAAACTCGCAGATGTAGCCTTTACTGTATATGAATAAAACATTTCAGGTATTTTTTTTAAAGGGTTCTCATTTGCTGCACTCACAAGCACTAGGTTTTCAGCTGTACTAGTATAAATAGTATATTCTTAATAGCGTATATACTGTATTTGTGCAACGCAGGAGAGAAAAACTATGAATATTCTGTATAGTTGCTGCATGTTCTGGTAGGCACTTGTTAGGCATACTCCCTATATCCCACAAAGTACAGTAATACTCTAGCTGCAGTTAGGATTTTTTTTTATCAAACTATCTGAAAATGTATTCTCTTTCTGCATGGAGATGGATACTCAAAATATATATAGCACATTTGTGACCATTTTACTCTTATATGCATTGGAAGGACAAAATGCAGTTCATTACTGTGTGAGTGGTGCTTCTTGTAGTCTACTTTGAATTGTGTGACTTGCCTGGATAAAAATAGAATCTGACTTTAAAACGTGTGAAGACAGACTGAGAGACGGACCTATGCTTTTCTGACTAAAATGACCCTGTTCTACGCTTGAAACGATCCATCTTTCACCTCAATGCGAAGCATATGTTGATATATAAGTACACGGTAGGAAAAAAAAGCAGACTACTCCCTTAATTCAGCCACGCAAAATGCTATGAACAACAACCACAACGACCACCAGAGAAGCAGGAAGAGTTCTGAAATAATCAACTTCAACAGTGAAATTTTAAACTTACTGCAAGAAGGACAACAATGTACTGTAGACCCCGTGTCTCTACGCTAATATAAACAAAAACAAACAGGAATATACTTCATACACAACACAAACGGCTGCAGGCTATCATCTATTTTTCAATAAGTTTTTCTTTTTTTCGTTCTGGAGAATATGCGAGCGTGTCGCGAACAGAAAGGTCTAGACCTACAACTATAAGAAGCACGATTGAGGAAACGAGGAATAAGTTTCAGGATAATGTTGCAAGAACTTTTAAAATGCCTTGCTAAGTATTCATTACCCTTTAACCTTTATGGATTTTTACACATTAAACCGACAAACTTTTATGGGGGTTTTCTGTGTGGAATTTTATTTGATAGGCCAACACAAGGTAGTGTAATATTGTGAAGCAGAAGAAAATAAATGTCACATGACCTTTCAGTCGTTACAGCGACGCCTTAACAATCCAGCAAATCCAGAGGTTTCTACAGAAGGCTAATGAAGAACAAGGAACACACAGTTCATCTTTGATTAACTTGTGGAGCTTTTTAAAGCAGTGTGAAAATGTTACATGACACACGATGGGGGCAGCATTTTGCCCCCGGTTGATTAAAAGCGGGATGGAGCTAAATACAGTTTGTAAAAGACGGTGAAAGAGGTTAACATCCAGCAGAGTAAAAACATAATCTAAGCTTGAACCAAACTGTTTATATTAAAGCATATTTGTGTTTTGAAATGGACTAGTCAAAGTCATAACCTACCACGTGTAGCTGAACCATGGAGAGTAATCCTATGAGTGCTTTCAGCTATTTTGCAACAAAGATTACATGAAATTTCATTCTCATTTGTCCAACAAAACATTGACTTAAGGGAGCCGGATGTAACTGCACACTAAGCATAAACAATATGGACAGAAACTCTTTTATTTTTGCAACAATGACAAAAATAACAGCAATATTGATTTTCAGTTTTACCTTTATTTTTTGGCAACATATTGTACGACCATTACTGTTTGTACTTCCTAGGAAAACTGCTACAAATCTCTTAAAAATAACACTTACCCATTATCAGACAACTTTCTTACACTACGGCATTAACTAAGGCAGTTGTATCAATCATTACTTTTATTCATACTTCCAAATAAATAGATTTTTACTGACGCTCTCAAGGATCCAACAGTGATAAAAAGGTAACAAATCATTAGTTTTTGGAATTTGAAATTAATAAGTTTTCCATTATCAAGACAAAATGATGGTTAAAAAAATGTCTCTAAAATGATTAAAGATGCAATAAATACCAACTCCTAACACATACACCACATATTTATGAAAGCATTTGAAAACTATGTATAATTTATTTCTTCACTATCCAGTCACGCACTACCATCTGTTGGTCTATCATAAAATCCCAGAAGATTTTGTTTCAGTTTGTGGTAGTAATGTGAGGAAATATGAAAAGGTTCAAAGGGCACGAGAACTTTCGCAAGGCACTAAAATTTTACTTTTTTTGCAACCGAGAGAAGAATTAAGCACCACCACAATTAGCCGAAGTAATCTAAGGAATATATAACTATGGACAGTGAAGGACACGTGATGCTAATGCAACAAGGGGAAGGGGAAATGGGCCGTATGCTATAGCACATTATGACACACTGGAGCAAAAAGGTTCCTTCCTTTCCAAACCTAGACTCCTATCAAACACCTTATGATACAAGAAATCAACCACCAATGGACAAGTTCTAGCCCTCACCCAGGTCACATGAAGATTGGCTACTTTTGTTATTCCAAAACCAAAAAAAACAGAAAAATAATTAAATATAAGTGATCAAGAAAGAACTCATAGTGTAATTGTGAAACCAAACATTTCAAAAACCAACACCAAGCTACTACTATTTAGACCAATGATACCACAAGGCTGGTTGTACTCATCTAGCTACAGTCAATAGTGCATTTAATATAGGTGTTCACATAAAAACACGTACGTAAAAATTTAGGTGCCATGAAGGAATGTTAGATCACCGAAACACACCCACTACACCGAAACAGTTTGACACTCTGTCTCTGCCTTTCTTTCTTTTTTTTTTTTTGTTACTTTTTTCTTTTCGCTGGAAAAAGTGATGATGTTAGTTTGGCAGTGTTTGGAAGTTGAACAGACGACGAACATCACGAGCTGCGTTGTGCCATACGAGTGGCGATACTGTTGGAAAGAGATCTCGGCAGTTGCTTACATATTTCTATTTAGTGCATTGTCTGTTAAGGCATGAGATTTAACCCTCCACGTGCTGTGTAGAGACAAATGTAGCACTAGCATGCAGCAATACTGCCGACTAGGCAACGACAGCTACGAATAGGAACCATACACTTCAGAGGCTTTTTTATGCACACCATAGAGACAGGCCCAATCAAATGTTCAATAACATGCTAACTTTACTGAGGACCAACCGCACACTTTCAAAGATCTTTTCTCACAAGTGTTTTTTTCTTTCATCAAGCTAAAGAAGCTGGAGCAGGATGCGTGCCAGCTGGCCTAAGCTAAGGAATTGTTACAGGTGCCTTATCAGCCCGAAAGGTTTGGAGAACTGTTTTCTTATAGTACCTGCGCTGCATATTGCAAAGGAAGCCCTACAGTTGAGATATTCCACTTATCAACAATTTGATTAGGCTATTTACCGCACACAGACGCTCACTGACACACAAACACCGAAGTAAAGAGACACGACTGTGCACTAGTGACGGACTGATATCAAAGAAGCTGCACTCCATCACAACAGAAAGGTTTTTTTTTCCAGGACACACACACGTCATTTACACACATACACACATATTATAAATCTATTATTAATAATATAGCATTACTTCCGCCAAAAGACTTGGACGGGAGGTTCTTTATTATTACTGCTGTTGTTTCGCTGTTAATGATGTTTGGCTTGGATGTTCTCATAGGAAATTTCTGCACTGTTTCTAAAAAAAAAAAAAAAAAGAAATCAAATAAACTCTTATAGGGAACTGACCCGATAGAATATTTCAAAGGTTTAAACATAGATGAGCACACACAATGGTTAAATAAAATAAAATAAATGCTTGCATTAACACGGCACGAGAATATACTGAAGGTAACAGCAAGCCATAACAAAAGCCGAGAATTGAGAAGTTTACTAAACGAAAAAATAAGCTGAAACACCGCTATTCATGTGAAGTCTTAAAAAAAAAAGAAACAAGAAAAAAAAATCTCTTTTCTAAAACTATATCTCTGTTAACAGTAGTGCACTTATTGGTTTAAGCAGTGCAACATATATGCAAGAAAATAATGCAGTCCACTTATCAAGATAAAAAAAAAGATTTTTTTTTCCTTTGAAATTGAATAAAAGAAAGTTCATTTAAGGAAAACGATTAAATATTTAGCACAGGCATTTTAAGAAAATGTGCAAAATAGCACTTTTTTCTGAACTGACAGGAGGTCTTTTGAAGACGTCCCTGAATGCAGTTAGTTACTCGCTTTATCGTACAACTACCGAAAGTGTTTGCTTGCTTTTAAAGAAGCAAATCCTTCAGGATGCAGTTGCAGGCAGTTGCACGTGTGCATGTGTTTGTGTGTGTGTGTGTGTGTGTACATACACACACGTGTGTGTGTGAGACCTATTTTGGATATAAAATCAATGTAAAAGAATTAAAAATATCTGTAATAAACCTTAAGTAGGGCAATGCATGAATGAGACGACATGAACACACAAGCTTCCACATCTACTCTACACATGCTGTGTCTTGGTGTTTGAGAAAATTGGGAATGTATGCTGTTTTTCCACACAGTCCATCTGCAGCTTGTGGTATATCATGAAACAGCGTGCTATCGATTGATGGGAGCTACTTGTTTTGCTTTCAGACTGTATTTCCTTTCAAAACGTTGCATGCCATTTGAGCCTTCGACGAGCGAGAGAAAGAGAGAGAGAGAACGCACGAAGAGTAATGCACTCAGCTCCCACCTGCTGAAATAGCTCCGCAATTGTAATGAACAGGTTATACAGGCGTTCTAGGTTCAGGGCGGCAATTATTTTGCTTTTTAGTCCGACTCAAAATTAATTTGCGCCATCTTTCACAACACCGATCCAATCAGCAACCAGCTGACCGCCTCCCTGCGAAACTGTAATTCAATTATGAGATTAAAACCAAACAGGCTACTCAATAACAACAATTGTTGAAGTGACAAATCCTTTTTTTTTTCCTCTAACTCTATATCCCATAACAGTCGGGTGCAGGTTGAGGAGCAGCAATTATGAAGGAGAGAGTTTAGTCCCATATTCCAGCCTGCCTTAACTGTGAAAAGGCTAAAAAAAACACACACACACAACCATCAGCAGAAGACTCTTCCATTTTTTCATGTTTTGCAGTGGAAGAAATCTAAGTAGCCTTAACAGTCTTAGGATATTAAAAAGGCAGTGTATGCAAATGAGATAAACTCTAAACTCCAGGAAAAAAAAGAAACATATTTTTGCTCAAATACTGTCTTATCAGCACACAAAAATTTAGTAAACGTTATCTTGACCGTCAAAATTCATGGACAATAATCATAAAACAGGTGAGAAATAATCACTTTCCCCATCGCTTTGGACAGGAGGTTACAATTAAGTAAAATAATTAAAATTGGTACCTTGACAACAGCTGCATTATAATCCCTTAATACCACAGGAATAAATAAAACCCAGTGTCAAATTAAGTACTCTCCTTTTTTTGTTTGATATAAGAAGGCAATCTTGTGACCATCAGTATTTTTAGAGGGAATATGTAGCCCAACCCCAGGTTTTTTTTTTTCAGTTTTTTGTCTTTTATTGTTATCGTTGTTTAAAATTATACCACAGTAAGCTTGGACATCTATGTTTCCAAACTGGTCAATATGGATTCACAACTGCCATGATTCATGTGTCATAGCAATACACACACACACACGCACGCAGACGCACGCGGACAAATAAAGAGACAGACTTGTATGCAAAAATCACAAACATTCAAACATATTTGCTCATTTAAAGTCATTCAGACATAGCTAGACTAAAGGTGTGTTTGTGTGTATGTGTTTCTTTCGTAGGCCTTTCGGTAGTGTTCAACACATAAATCAGTATTTTAGGAAAGCATACATTTAGAGGCCCGTAGTTTGGATCCATCCAGTAGATCAATATCAAACCACTGAGCCTTAAGGCCACCATCTTTTTTTCTTTTAGAATAACAGGAAAAAAAAAAAAAAGAAAACTTTTTTTGGGGAAACTTAATGTGCCAGTGTCTATACTCCTTACTCTTCATACCTCAAAATAAGAAAAGGAAAATCTAGTGCCATTGTATTTGTCATTCTTTCAGAAATAAGTTTCTTTTTTTCCTTTTTTTAAAATTTGTACTTATCCATCGGAGACATGCATTCGCATGTGGTCATTGAAGAGCTCCATTTGGTCGAACTTGGCAGGGCAGACGGAGCACACGTAGGTGGTCCCTTCTTGGCAGCTTGCTTCAGCAGCTACACCCACTCCCGTTCCAACCCCGGCCCCTACTCCGGCGCCGCCGCTCACTGGCATGGCGAGGGCCACAACTCCGGCTCCGGGCTCGGGGACGGCTATCGGCATCGGGATGGAGACCGGGCCCGGGGTGCCCACACTCACAGACAGCCCGGTGATGGCGCTGGCGTTGCTGTGCAGGGCCATGTGGCGCTCCAGCAGGGTCTTGTGTGAGAACTTCTTCTTGCAGATGTAGCACTCATAGGACTTCTCTCCACGGTGCAGCCGCATGTGGACGTTCAGCGAACTCTTCTGGGTGAAACGCTTGTTGCAGATGCTGCACTGGTAGGCGCGCACCCCTGTGTGTGTCACCATATGTTTAATTAAGTAATCCTTCAGGGAGAACGAGCGCCAGCAGATGCTGCACTGATGAGGCTTCTCACCTGGATGTGCACACAACACAAAAGCATTAAGAGATTGAACCCCCCCCCCAGAAACAATATGGTTTGCACATTAGAGAGGAGTACTCATTTGCAGTGTCTGAACAATTACATCTGAACATGCTTTAGTGTTATTCTGTTGCCATGTGTCTAAATGTACTCCAAATTTAATGCTAAAATTATGCTTTAGTTTTACAACAAAAAAAGTACTCTTTGCATCACTCCTGGGAAAACTGTGCAAATCTTAACCTCCCCATTCTATTCCCATCTCCGTTTCTAAAGCTAATTTAGCTCCATCTGTTCATCGCGTAAACAGCCAACTTGATGAGGGCTTTGACTGAAATGTCAAAATCTGTGTGGTGCGGTCATTTTTAATGAAGGATTTCAGCATCCTCATGGTGTGGGGTGTGTATCAAGCTTTCTAAAAGCATATAGCAAGCTATTAAAGACAAAAAAAATGAGCAAATAAGTGATTTGGAAGAGAGTCAAGTCTATTTTTTGACCCTTAATTCTCCCGAAATGCTGCCAGCAGTCTCTACATATGGACTTTGCTGCAGAATTTTCTGCAGAAACACCTTAAGCTAAAAGTTCAGTAAACCTGAGCTAGCTTTGTTTTAATTTTTTATTCCACTATGTGCTGCTTACTGCAGAAAATGGGCAGAAAGCTTCAATTTAAAAACACACAGGGTTTTACTTAATAGAAAACCTCTTTTTCACAAAATTTGTAAACGTAATTAATCCTTGGTTGCCATAGATTATTCAGATTTAATCCTGTTGAGTGATCGATCCATGATTTATCATCTCTTCCGTATGCTGCTCTGTCTGTAGCCTCCAAAGCGAGTGCTTCTGGACAGGAAATGGACTGTAATGAATAATAATGGTTGTTTGAGAAGGCTTTTTTATGGGACCATCTAATTATATGATATTTGATTCTTTTCCTTTGTGATGATGGTTTCCCCAGTATCAATTTGATGATGTGGACATTGTTTAAAGAAAGAACACTACTGACATTGTAAAGTCAAGCAGAAATGATAAACACACTTTTCAGGTGTGACCATATAAACATTATTTTTATGTCATTCAGTTTATGTTCTAAATACTTACAATTTTATTATTTAATCAAAGTAGTTTGACTGGTACAGATGGTAAGATATTCATTTGTTTCTGAGTCTTTCTTTATATTTTGTTTTAAAGGGATAGTTTTGAATTTTTTGAAGTGGGTTTCTGTGAAAAGCTTATGAGGAGTCAATGTCCTACATTCACTAAAGAGCTCTCTAAGTCAACTATAATCAAAAATTGTTCAGATTGTTTTCTGCCATCTTTAAATAACACCAACATTTTATAAAGGTTAAAGATAATGTTCTTTTTGTGAAATGAATAGATGCATCATTTCAGCAGCAAAGCATTTCAAAGTGCTTTTCATTTTAATGATAATATATAAAACAAGTATAGGTAAAAGAGGTAATTTCTTCATGTTTTATCCTAATTGTGATGAAAACTTGTACACTGATAATGTTTTAAATTACCACCTTCTTTAACCTGACCTTTTACTTAACTTTGCCTTTTTTAAAATCAAACAATGCCTTATTCTAACCCAATCTACTGAAACTTGTGAAGCATCGCCATAATCTGATATGGCAACAGCTCGCAAAAAACTAAATATGGCTCTATTCAACATATGATGAACCTTTTATATTCTGTTACTCTCCAAGACTACAGCTACAATCTGAGTGAAATATTTATATGATTGAGCATTCAACATGTATATTTTAATATTTTGACTTACCAGTATGGACAAACATGTGTTTGACGTAATTCTGTTTGGCAGTAAAGGTCTTACTGCAGAGAGTGCATTCATAGGGCTTCTTTTCCCCCGGACCGATCCCTCCTGCAGCCTGCTGCTGCTGAGATGAAGCCTGCGGTACCGACATGGGGTTCGGGAATGATGGCATTGCGGGCGGCGGCACTGCCACGAACTGGGGCTGCTGCTGGCCAGGAAGGTAAAGGAAAGGCTTGTGGTCTCTCGACGGCTGCGTGGGGAAGAGTGTGGGCAGGAAGGTGCTTCCAGCGGTGCCCATCACTTGGGAATTGCTGGGCACGGTGATCGGCATCCTCAGGTTGCTGGTGTGTGATTCTATCTGGCGCATGTACTGGGACATGGGACTGAGTTTGACTGAGTTTGGCAGGGGCTGCATCATGCTACTGTCACTAGTGCTGTGGGAAGTGTCCCCGTCCTCCGTCTTTTGCATCCGCTCTGGGGACGAGTCGCTGACCTCTATCTGCACTGGAGCTCCTTCGATGCCTTGCTGCCCTTCCCCAACGGCGTCTCGACTGAAGCTCGTCAGGTACGGCTGCTGCTCCATGGTGTCCGTCTCTGTGCTGATGGAGGAGCTGACCCCTGAGTCAAAGTTTTCAACCTTGGATTCTCCCTCCACACCCTCGTTGTGGTCAGTGTCATCTTGGCAGTCCCCCATGTCGTAGCAGGTGAACTCGTCTTCGGCCTCCTGCTTTATGTGCATCCCTCCTGTTTGGATGCGTACCGGTCGTGGTTGCTTGCGGCAGTGAGTGGACTCTGCGTTGGACATGAAGCGTTCCACCTGCTGGGACCGTTCCTGGATGCGGTTTATCCAGGGCGGATCTTGAGATTGCTGGTCCTTCTGATTGCTTGGATCATAATTTGCTGACAGGGGGTTAACATAAAGGGACCGCTCTCGGGTGCCATTCTGCAGAGACAGGCCGGGGTAGGAGTACAGGGATGTGTATGTACGATCTACACTTTGCTGTGATGTTACTTGCATATAGCCTGACTCTGCATCACTGCTGGGTCCAGAGGTGCCAGACTCTGGTGTGCCACGGGGTGTCTCCTGGCCAGAATCTCCTGGTATCACAGGGAATCCCCCGGGACCAGCCAGGCCCACATTCTGGGACACGATGCGTGTGCACTCATCGATGACGGTCTTGATCTGCAGAATGCTGGCAGCGGTGAGGATCTGCAGCGCTTCTGACTGAGAAACTCGCAGAATTCCACTGTACATAAAGTCAATCAGCTTCTGGATGGATTGCACTGAGACCACAGAGGGGATCTCGATGTCACTGTAGCCCAAGAGCAGCTTGTCCTGAAAGAATGGGCTTCCAGCGGCCAGCACGCACCGGTGAGCTCGCAGCATGCTTCCATGGATCCGAACGGTCACGTCACAGAAGTGCCCGCGGTTTCGCTGCTCATTGAGGGTCTCAAGTACAGAATTGCTGAAGTTGTGGAGATTGATGTTATGAATGCGCTCGGTCATCCCCTTGCAACTGATGTCACCTGAAAAGAAAGAGCAATAAAGCTTCCTGAAAAACTAATGCATACATGAAACGTTGTTCGGACCTCCCAATTAACTGGCACAAGTCTAAAAATGAGAGTAACTTCAAAAACTGTGCATTTCAGCAATTCAATTCAAAAAATAAAATATATTTTCTAAAAAAAATGAATTTGGAACCTACAGAATCATGGGTAAGGTGTCAATAACTGAAGATAAGCTGCTAAAGGTAAAGAATTAGATTGTTCAGAGTGTCATATCCAAGCAAATTGATGGAAAGTTGAGTGGAAGGAAATTATGTGGTAGTTGAATAGGATAAACCACAGTCTTGAGATTATTGTGAAGTGAAGCACATTGGAGACTTTGGGGAAGATTCACAAAACATAGATAATAGCTGGAGTCAGTGGCAGCTTTCAAGTAATGATTTCAGTCTACGGTCTACACCAGCCGATAAATTAAGATGTCCAGACATACGGCGGGGAGGTCAACTATTACAAATCTATATCCATCTTGAAAGACACTGTGTGTCTATCTGTAAGGAATTACTGTAATTGTGTTGCTGTCACCTGCCAGGACACTCGTTCAATCCCAGGGAGTTTTTTCATCCTGTTTAAATAAAGGTTGAAGAAGAAGAAAGGTACTTGTGTAGTGTCTGAAAACAGTTTATATCTTTATGTCTCAGTAACAGGCCTAAGATGAGACCTTCACGCAGTGCCCAGGCAGTACACGCAAAAAAAACCTTTTGGAATTAGCGGGGAAAACGAGTCACACACAAAACACATTGAGTTTGAACAACAAGTTCATCTATGGATTCAGTCACAAGGGAGATTCCAGAGGGACTAGAAGACAATATGACCCAGGTCCCAAACAAGACGTCAGTGTGGAACATGTGAAAGAGATAATATGCTACCATTGGAAAATGAGGGATGCTGTCCAGGGCTTTATTGGTTTCGTCCCTCCAACCGGTCTCTAAATTTTAACGAACATTAATCTCTACATTTTGGGCTTAATCTGTATTTGGATTGCTTAATAAATCTAATTACTTATTTAAGTCTGTCTACAGCATCTACACTGATGCATACCAGGCATACTACAAACAACTCCAAAAATATACTTAACTCACAAACCTGTGACCACTGTAATTTAAGGAGCAACACAGGGCTGTGGGATGCACTCTGTGAAACCTAACCACGAGCAGATTAAGTTTAGTTTATATCACACAAGTCAGATTAGACACTTTGTTATGTATAATTTGAAATGAGGGAAAATCATACTGGAGGGTGAATGGTTGTGAGTTTACAAAACATGGATGACGAGAGACTACTTTTACATTCCTCGTCTTACGATACTCCTGAACCAGAGACGACAGTAGAAGCATCTTACCTGAGGCGAAGAGAAAAGGGATTTGGGAAATCAAGAAATCTGCTGTTCTAATGTGCTTTATCAATGCAGCTGTCCATTAAGATATTCGGAAATGTATCAGTCTTTGTGTAATAATTTTTATATAATAGAGGAATTTCATGCTTTGAATTGAATTACTGAAATAAAGGAACTTTTTGTTCTGTTCCCCAAAAAACGTTTACCATTTACACATGGCAGCAACACGTTGGCCAACCAGGTTTACAGAACTCAAAAACCTACATTAGAAATAAAAAAATATATAACTAAATAATTAATATCAAAATAAATTTAAGAATTTAATTTTTTTTAAAATAAAAAAACAGTATGCCTAAAAGAATTAATGTTTTTATTTACATTGACAATGTTGCTGCTTATTACTATGCGTGACGTAGAAAAGTTATAGTTTGACCAAGCGAAGAACAATCAGGAGTGTTTTCTTATTAAGCGTTCCTGTTCAGCGTTATTTTGAAGTGCCTAAAATAGCCTTTAGGTGGCGCACTGGGCTAAAAGGACAACAGGCCTCTTTTGTCAGCCATGTGTTCACGATGATGCCGTTTTTCTAACTATCCCTTCAATACACTAAATGTGCCCTAGCTGATCAGAGATAACCTAATGTGCTTTTTCCCCTCAGTGAGCAGATAAAAAAAAAAGAAAATCCAAATGAAATAGGGAGGAAGTGGAAAACTGAGATAATTAAAGCTGCTACAAAATTAATTTGGTTGGCACATAATGCTTGTCAAGTATTGTGCTGTTATTTACTAAAGCTGTCATCTTTGGCCGAGTTTTTTCTAAAATACTTCTCAGTAATTAAAACAAATGTCCTACTTGTGACACTGAAAACTGAAAAAATGCACATGAAAATTCGGCAGAATTTTTCCATAACTATCTTTGCTCAATATGTGTCAAAAACATTTAAATAAATAATTACAAATTTCACCCAGAAAGTAGTATGCTATTATTAAATGACATAGTACGAGCAGATTTACTTTCTAAACAAAATTACAATTAAAATAGTGATGTAAAAAAATGAAGCTGCCCCATTACTCACAGTTAGATGATGTTTTTTTGTTATTTTTAATGAAAATGCTTGTGAGGCTGGTGATGAAGAGCGGGTCAATTTGCTGGTGGAGATGGCTGATCAGTGGCCTGGTGCTAGGCAAGGCTGTCAGTCTTCTCTGTCCAAATCATGTGTTCCTCTGCTACAGTGTTTGGAGAGGAGGGGAAGGGGAAAAGAGAAGGGGGGAGAAAAGACAAAGACAAATCTTAATGCCACATTCTGCCTGTCGATGTTGCCACTCCCTTAATGAACCCAGAGCCACAGTAACAGGAATATCTGCCACAGACGTGCTGCAACAGATGTGTGAAGAGTTTTTACGGCAAAGTGAGTGGACGTTTCTGTGATCACATGACTTCAAAATCACAAATCAAGGTTGAAAATGATTTTGCCTTTGGTGCCAGTTTTTTTTTCTCTCTCTCTCTCTCTCAACTGCAGGATAACAAAGCCACACCCTTGTCAAAAAAAAAAAAAAAATCGAACATTCTCCCAAAATTTCAAGGGTGGTCTTTTGTTTAAAGAATGATTTTTGAACAAATCAAAATCGTGATAGGTTTTTCCTTAGTCCAAAATGTAACCTGTGTAACACTGCATACAGATGTGGAGCAAATTTAGGCTATAATATAATGGAGATGAGTCAAATATTAAACATGCAAGGCTTTCAGTGGAAATCACAAGAAAGGCATTCAACAGCATGAGGCATGTGACGTGCTGGTTTGGTGACGCCAAGAAAGCCTGACACAATCGCTCTTCTACTCGGCAAACGCATTAGCACGCAAATGTTTGACCCCAAAAACTGGCAACAAAGACGGTGTAAGATAAACCACGGCGTACTAACACATCACTTAGAGTCAGGCAAGTTGGGAAAATACATGAAAGCAGGAAAAAAAAACATTTTAGACACGTTCCTTTTTATTAATGTCACATTGTTCAGAATACATTAAAGTACTACAACCAGTGAAGCCTTAAAAGTATCTGGAAATTACATACTTATCATTAATGTGGGTTCAGTTTGACCTGACACTCTTAAATATATTTTTTTGTGGGGTAAATTGAATATGAAAAAAAAAACGCATTTGGTTCCACTTCCATTTGCCACAACACTAAATTGAAGTGCTCTCTTCCTGAAATGCCAACAACCACACCGGGCCGCTGAGTAACCAGAACGGGGCTGGGATGTGACCAGACCTGCACATTAGTGTTGACACAAATTATTCTTTCACTGCTCTCGAGAAGTTCTAAAGAAGAACCCAACAACGTCATGCAGTCTGATAAATGAATGTATCTATATTAGATTTTTCTGTGGCAAGGCAACGGATATATTTTAGGCAATGGATGTGCCTCAAGGAGGATAAGCTCTTCTCGTGCCGTGAAGTGTAATACCTTGGAGAAAAGCAAAGATGAAGATTTTCAAACATAAAGGATTCTGTTCACTTGGTCACCCTGAGTTCACACACTCTTCTCTGAGAAGTTCTGAATTCACTGCACCTATGTGTGTTTCCTGAAATGTGCTTCTCATGTAGCATAATTGATGCAGACAAGTAATGGCGTGTTTAACAGTAGAGGGTAATCACTCTAAACAGAGATAGATCATTCTGTGTCACAGCAAACAACCACAAATGCACGGTTGGTCAAGACAAAATGACGCCTCAAAGTAAAACCCTTAACTATGACATTTTCATACAATTCTTGTTACTACAGCTCTGTAATTTCGTTTAAATTAACCATGTACACCAAACAGACCAGCCTTGAGAATGTCTATCTTAAACATTACTGATTTCCATTTTTCTTTGAGATCTTCTGAATCTGACTTTCTTTTTAAGCACTTTAACGGCTCTGTATCAGTTTATCCCAAAGCCAATTTGTTCCCACCATCTTGTGCCAACTGTAAATAAATAACTCCATACTCATGCAAATAAAATCACAATGAATCTCTTGATTTTTCATGTAGCAGGGTTGGGTGATATGGTGACACAAGATCGCGAAGAATTAGAAAGTGCAGACGATTTGCCAAAGCAGATAGAGTGAGAGAGAGGCCATGTGTGAAGCACATTCTATATAGCTTAGCTCTTTACTGTTAATGAAAGAAAATAATGAATCTACATAAAAGAACAAACAGACAACGTAAGTGAATTTTATGAAAGCTTTTGCAAAAGGAAGAAAACCCAGCAAACTGCTCCTTCAAGCCGTTCACTGAGCGCTCTGAAGACCCTTTGTTAGGGCTTTCTCTTTTATCAAACGATAAGGGAGGGCAGTAAAGAAAAACAGCAGAGACAGTCACCGGCGGCCTCCAAAGTAGGGAGTATTCCGGTTGATAAGGTCTGAGAAACACCGTTGACTGTTTCACATGGAAGTAAAGGTCTCAAAGTAAGTTTATACATTTCAGCAGAGGAAGAGAATACTTTAAATTGAAAATCACAGTATAATGCTGGGTTAATGATCTAAAATAATTATAATAAATGTTGAATGTAAGAATGATAACACAGAAAAATCCTAACAGGAAAGTTTCACCTTTCTTTTTTTTCTGCAGATTCACAAAGTATAAAAAGAAATAGTTACGTCAATAAATAGAATGGTAGTATGGTTAGCCTCAATGTTTGAAAATAAAATGATCACTGAAGCCATCTTCAGCGACCTTCCTAATAAAAACTTTCAGTTTTTTGGCTGTTGATCAACCACATTGTGTCAAACGCGTACCTGCAGATGCAAGCGACCGTGAAGGCTCGGCGTGAATATTTTAATCACCATACAGCACCAAATTTTTAACACAGCTCCACTTTTCACCTTACAAATGTGAAAAGAAGGCATTTTGAAGACATCTTAACCATACAAGCAAAAGTAAACTACAAGATAATCGCCTCCTCTAGCAGATGCTGATTACATAGCTGTTAATGCTAAATCAAAGTAAGCAAACATTTCTCAATTTGGCTTATGTGCTCAACTTGTTGCAGTTTGTCAAGAGTTATAGTTGGACTACAGACCTTGTATTATGTAGTACTTGTATTTTTGGCAAGACAACCAGAACGAGTATATGATGGTTTATATCTCTATATTCAAACATGAGCACAGCAACACTTAAATAAGGGTCTTGACCATGTTTAAACCACTGCGACCTTCAAATAGCATTCTTTAAATCCAAATAAAACACCTTAAGGTGAACCGCTCTTAATGGTGGGCACATTCTGTGTTCACAGTGAAGACTGCATTTTCTATTACAGGTATGTAATGTAGAAGAGTTTGAGGAAAGTAATACCATGGTGAAAAAATGTACAATTACTTTGAGTGCTGCTAACTATGTCTTTGCTAAAGATAAACTGATCATGTTGAAAAATGTCATAACACTGATACATACTGTTACATCTCTGTTAAGTAGAAAATGTGGACTTTAACTAAGCTTTGGTGTCACTCAAAAAAAAAAAAAAGAATTCTGAGTTGGGTATAAATTTTTGAAACATGCCAACACAAGAAATGCCACTTATGCTTGACGCAATTTGTCAGTTGCATACAACTGTTTCGAATTTCTTTAGAAAATATTTGAGCTTTTTATGCAGGGGATTCTTATCTTAGAGGGAAAATTCATTTTTAAAGTAAAATATTTTCACTATTTATGAGGATAAATTCTGGTAAACATGTTCAAAATAAACTAAGATTCATGTTCAGCTCAAAGCCTGTAAAATCTGGTGCTACTGTACTGCTGAATACAATTTTTCTACCACTAGTCAGAACTAATTTTCATGTGAAGATTTGGGTATGAAAAATATATGCTAAAAAAAATCTGGTTGCACAGCATAAAATCTCATTTGTTGAAACAAAAATAAAACTTGACAGATTCTCTGATAAAGTATCAGTTTTGAATCCATCACAAAATCAACGGATCACAAGATTATTTCCATTTACGCTGCAGATTTTATTTATTATTTTGCCAATTTGTATCGCCGTTAGGAATTAGAAATCATAAACGTAACTAAAGTGTTTTAGAGTGTTTTCTTAACTTTTCATTTTTGATAAATTGTAATGAGAAAAAGCTTAATTGGCAGAGTTAAAAAATTTATATATTATATTAATAATAGGGGTTAGGAATTTATTTGTCATTTATTATATTAAGAATTTGAATGATTATTTTCACAATAATTTCCAACTTATGATGTTTAAAACCTCCAAAACTGTCTGTATTGTTGGAATTGCTATGTTTTATTATTTTATCCACTGTTTGTTCAATGAGGGCATCAATAAATATCAATAAATTTAGAAATATGATTAAATCCAGTTTCTGGTTTCCAAAAGAGGCACATTACAAATGGAAATGTTTTTCAGTTTGTGGTGCTATGATTGCTATGCCCATAAAAAAGAAGCAATAAATAGTTCTTATTGTCACTTTTGTCGTTGTCACATCAGTACCACAAAATGTTGTAATAAAATTTTAAACATAATTGCCTACTTCTATTAATAAACATGGCAAATTTAGATTTGAAATGATTTTCATACAACTAAGGAGTGTTAATATATTTGGAGCAATGTCTGTCTCATTTCCTGTTAGGAACAATGTACAAAGATTACTAATTTTGAATTAAAAAATTGTTCATTTCCAATTTTATTAAACACAACAATGCACAATTTATACCCTTTTATTTACATTCAGTGGAACAGTCAGTCAAACTGTTGTCATAATTGCTCGCCAGCTTTTTGCTTGTGCTCACTTGTACTTTGACAATTTATTTATGAATGAATATTGAGGTATGAACTAATGAAGAGTTGAACTGACGTGGAGCATTTTACTATGTGAGTTAATATTTTAAATGCACGTTGTAAACGAGTGAATAAAGCTAAAACACTCTTCCTGTCACCTGTACTTCAGATCGAAACATCCAAAAGGTACAAATCTTTCCTTCCACATTGAAGTGGTTTGGTAACCTGTTGTCAGAAATATGTAAGTACCATTGTTGGGCCGCTCTAAAACATTAGTATTTTTAACAGTCAGAAAGAAATGTGTTTCAAAATTAAAAAGATTGCTGTTAAGCTTAGATCTTCAATGATATGAATGGTTTAGGACTTAACTGTACACTGAATACTATATACAACTGAAGCCTTTACTCTACCGGTAAAGTAAAAACTGTCTTTTTTTGTTTGTTTTTCAATTTCTAAAAT